TGCACTAGCAGTACGTATGATGCAGTCTTTTGGTTAGCACTGGAAGTGAGTCGCAGTAAATAGGTCCTCATATGCACGCCTGTGGATGCAAGTGGCGCATTGTGCAGTGTGGTGTGGTGTTGCACCCTGCGTAGCTATCTCATGGTCCTGGGGAAAATGGAAATGGGATGAGGAAAACGGAGAAGAGAGACAGAACTGAGCTCAGCTGGAGGACTTCTCTCTCCCACTGGCAGAAGACTTTAATAACTGTAGGTATGTTTATTCATTGTTGGTACAGGGAATTGAACTCAGGACCTTTGTTTTTTTAAATCTGTGTAGTACAGGGTCTGCAGGGTCTCACTACACAGATTGGACTCATAGGGATCCCGTTCTCAGCCTCCCAAGTGCTGAGATTATGTTGTGCCACCACGCCCAGGCCGGTCTCAATCACTGTCTCAGCACACCTGAGGGGCAGGGCTGGCACAGCCAGCTGGGATCGAACCCTGGTCTCTGCGTATGCCTAAGCAGATGCTTTAATCTGCTGAGCTATCTGGCCGGCCCCCAGACCTTGTGCTTTCAAGGCAGGCCCTTATGCCACGGAGCTGTTTCCCTAACCAGGGATATGCATCTGTGCCTTTGATAAGACTTGCTTGGGAAGCACAGGGCTGAGCAGCGAGTAACGCCTGCAAAGGCTCTTAGTGCGTGTGCTTTTCTGGCCTATGGTAGCAGCACTGCTGGAGGCGCTTTGCCTTCTCTTACCCCCACACGTGTGGCCCATCTCCAGCCTCAGCCACTTCCTGCAGTGTAGTTCATGAGCCAGGAGCCATTCAATATTTCATTGTAAAATACACAACCTTTTCTCTTCTGTGGTGGTGTATGTGTGTAATACCCACACAGAGAACACCGAGAATTGCTAATTTTGAGGCCTGCCTGGGTTACAAGTGATGCAAGGTCTCAAAAAAGAAAGATAAATAAGAAATTTGAGGGCCGGGGAGATAGCTCAGTGGAATAAGTGCTTGCCTGGCAAGCACAGGAGCCTGAGTTCAATCCCCAGTTTCGCCAGAAACAAAACAAAATTTGGCTGTTTCAACATTATTTACTTATCTCTGTATTTTAGACAAGGGTTTCCAGGGTGTTCAGGATCTCACTACTAGATCAGACTGGTAGTGATCCACCTGTTTACAGCCTCCCAAAAGCTGGGATTACAGGCACGTGCCACCACGCCCAGTGCCCAGTCTCAATTTCTGTCTCAGCTCACCCCAGGGGTGGGGCTGGTACAGCAGGCCTGGAGATCAAACCACTGGCCCCTGCACCTGCCTGCAGGCGCTTTAATCCGCTGAGCTATTTGGCTGGCCCTAAACATAATTTATCTTTTTTTTAAAAAAAAATATTTATTTATTCATTTATTTATTGTGTGTGTGTGTGTGTGTGTGTGGCCAGCTCAGCCCACCAGGGGGCGGGGCTGGCTGGCATGTGGTGCTGGGGGATTGAACCGCGGTCCCTGTGCTTTGCTAAGCTTGTTCCAAGTAGGTGCTTTAGACCACTGAGCCATCTCACCAGCCCCCATAATTTATCTTTGAGACAGGGTCTCACTGTCCTGTTTGGGCAGACCCTGTGCTCCTTATTGTAGACATTACTCTGGTCTTGAAATAGCTATCATTCTTTCTCCACATCCTGTATTCTGGCATTACAGGTGTGCGCCACCACACCTGGTTCCTGGCCAGCAGGGTGCACCGGATTTCTGAGGCCAGGTCACCGTGCCTGGATTTCTGGGTCCAGCGTGGCATGTGGGGCTCGGTATCAAAGTCCAGAATTTGTGCTTTCCAGGTAGTTGCTTGTCCCTCTGAGCTGTCTCCCTAACCCAACATATTAGCTTAGTTTAGGCTGATGTACAATGTTCCCAATGTTAAGACCAAATATGCTTGCCATTCATACTTTCACCTCGCATTACTGGAGTGCAGGCCCTAGTAAATCAAGTACCTACTGAAATGAAGGACAAACAACGCAAGGTATTTTAAAAAGCACTGTAGTAGTAGCAAATAAGGCAAGAATGACACATGGTCTCAGACAGAAAATTTGCATGATGCTTTTGAGTGGAAGTGACGTCACTTATTTCAATCACTGAACAGATGTACTGATAACAAATCCACTATAAATTTATAGCTAAAGCTTATGAATCAGAACACACAAACTGTGTGACCACAAAAATAATTTTTAAGAACTGATGTGAGCTTCCTAATTAAAAAGCATCATTACCAAAGCACAAATGCTATTTGCAGCATCAAAAAATTTAAAAATGTTGTGAATAGAAACCATCCAGTCAACATTAATATAGTTAAAAACTCCCGAGCATGTCCTTGCAGATAAATCACATCTTTATAGGGAGCTTGTGGACAGCTTAATGATTACACTGCTCTATACTCTATTTCTGTCAGCTGGTCTCTGATGGAAGTACTGTGTGAAGGCTCACGAGAATGCAAATATTTTTTGAATTGCAAATTGAATAACTGACTCCAAAACAAGAGCCTAAAAAATATAATCTAATGATATAAATTATTGTAAGCACATGATATCAATGGCTGATTCAGAAAAAATATGCAAAATGATACACTGCCTATAATCTTTATTCAAGTTGAGATAGGTATATTTTCTTTGAATATTAAAAATAAACTTAATAGACACATTGCTTCAAAACACAAACACATTTACAGAAGTCATTACTAATAAATTATAAACTGTTACATCTATTTAAAACTCCTTGCTAGCACAATGGATGGCAGGTAGTAAAAGCTGAAATACAAGGCAGTGGAGAAACAATTGAGGAGAATTCACTTTTGGACTCAGGTTACAGCAAAATTACAAAAACCAAAACGAAACAAGAAAACCTACAAAAGATTGAGCCCCCTGGCACATACACAAACACAAGTCACTTAAAATATAGTTCTAACATAGTGCAAAATGAAGACCGTTATCATCCCTTTTAAATTTCAATGCTGTGGCTTAGAAGACACAGAATTATGGATGCACTTTTTTTGTTTTTAGGTATTGAACTCAGGACCTTGTGCTTCCCTGGTAATCACTTACTCCACTGAGCTATCTCCCTGGCCCACAACATGATTTTTTTTTTTTTTTTTTGTATTTTAGGGAAGGGTGTTCCCTACGGGGCGTTCTGGGTCTCACTACTAGATCACACTTGCAGTGATCCGCCTGTTTATAGCCTCCCAAGAACTGGGATTTACAGGCCTGCGCCACCACACCCAGCCTCAATTGCTGTTTCAGCACGCCCCGGGATGGGGCCAGCACAGAAGGTCTGGTGATCGAACTCCCAGCTCCTGCACCTTCTTGCAGGCACTTTAATGTGCTGAGCTATTTGGGTGGCCCACAACATGTGTTCTTGAAGAACTTAGAGTTACTACTTTGCACATTCACAGGATTTGATGCAATATTCTTTTCAACCTGCAGTGCAACTGAGAATTACTGTACATCAGGTAATGTTTTCTCACAATGCTGTTTCTTTGCAAAATGAACTAATGCAAACTACTATCCTTGACATTCCTATGGATTTCTCCATGGCAAGGTCATGTTTCAGGAAACTTCATGTAAAAATAAGGATTTCTCCTATATTTATACTAACACTCCTGATATTCTAGGTTTGGTGATGCCCCTGACATTAAACAGTGCGTTCAGGGCTGGGGAGATGGCTCAGTAGAATAAGCACTTGCCTGGAAAGTGCAAGGGCTTGAGTTCAATCCCTGGTTCTGCCAAAAAAAAAAAAAAAAAGCCAACAGTGTGTTCTCATACTACATACACAAGGTTTCTCTTTGGTAGTTCTTTCGTGTATTTCTAAGTTTCTGAAGCGTTTCCATACATTTCCTTGCATGTAAGTTATTTAATGTATTTTACTTAAGGAAAAATCCTTCCAATACTGCTGATATTCTGAATCCCACTATGAAGTCTCCATTTACTTAACATAATTTGGACTGAAAGCTGTCATATACTGTTTATAAGAAAAGGTTCTACCCCATCTCACTCATGTCTGAGTCACTTCATACACTGTTTCCATTCTGTTTTGTATGTGCATGATGCTTACTGCAGTGAAAAGGCTTGAGTTTATCGTTTAGTCATCCTCCCAAGGGGGATCTTTCATGTACTTCACAACATTCCTGAGTACTGAAGTCACATGTTACTTACACAGAGAACATTTCAACAGTATATGTTCAACTCTTTTCCAACCCTTCATGTTCTGAAAGCTTTCAAACACTGCTTGTATGTCATGGGTTTCTCCCTAGTGTGAGTGCTTTCATTTATTTTCCAGCAATGGTTTTGCTATGGAAAGCTTTACCACAATGCTTCCTTACCTAGGGTTTTTTCCCCCAACTGTGAGTCCTTTCATGGACTCAGTAACTATGTGGTAAAAGTTTCTCCACATCAATTACAATCATAGTTCCTTGGCAGTGTGTCATTTCACACACTTGATAATAACTTTTTTGCCTAAAAGCTTTGCCATACTGTTTACATACATAGGGTTTCTCTGCAGTGGGCGTCTTTTTATGTGATGAATTCTTCCCCACACCTCTTGCATAAACACAGTCTCTCCCTCCAGTAATCACTTTCCCATATCCTACAATCCTCCTCTGTGCTGAAAGCTTTCCCCCATTGCTCACATACGGTTTTCTCCAGTGAGTCCTCTGAAGTACTTGGATATGACTGCAGAAAGCTCTTCTATACTCCTTACATACCTAGGTTTTTCTCTGTAGCAACTCCTTTGATGTACTTGCCAATATTTGTATGTGCTATCTTTTCCACATTGCTTACATGCATAAGTTTTACCTTCAGTGACTTTCATGTACTTTATAATCATCCATTTTATTTATTTAATGTACTTAGTAAAGGATCTGCAGGGTCTCATTACACAGATCAGACCTGTAGCTATCCCTCCTGTTTTCGGCCTCCCAAGAGCTAGGATTTTAAGCACACCACCATACCGAGTCTCAGTTGCCATCATCTCAGCGTGCACCAGGGGCAAGCCGAATACGGTAGGCCAGGGATCGAACCCCAGGCTCCTGCGTGTGCCTAAGCAGGCACTTTAGTCTGCTGAGCTATCTGGCCGGCCTTACAAACATCTATTGCAGTAAAAGCTTTCCCACGTTGCTTATGTGCATTCAGTGTCTCCTCACTGTGAGCCCTTTCATGTATCTGCATTCTATGTTTTTGCCTAAAAGCTTTTCCACACTGCTTACATGCACAGGGTTTCTCCCCAGTATGAACCATTTCATGTCTTTGCAACTCATCTTTTTTCCTAAAAGCTTTTCCACACTGTGTGCATACGCAGGGTTTCTCCACAGTGTGATTCCTTTCATGGCCTTTAAGATAATTTTTTGAGGTAAAGGCTTTGCCACATTGCTTGCATACATATGGATTATCCCCAATGTGAGTCTTTTCATGTCTTTGAAGACTTTTTTTAATACCAAAAGCTTTGCCACACTGCTTACATACATAGGGTTTCTCCCCTGTGTGAGTCCTTTCATGAATGTGACAATCATTTATTGTGATGAAACCTTTTCCACATTGTTTACAAACATGGGGTTTCTCTCCAGTGTGAGTCTTTTCATGTCTTTGAAGATTGTTTTTTCTGTTAAAAGCTTTGCCACACTGCTTACATACATAAGGTTTCTCTCCAGTGTGAGACCTTTCATGTGTCTGACAGTCCCTTTTTGCACGGAAAGCTTTCCCGCATTGCTTACATACAAAGGGCTTCTCCCCTGTGTGAGTTCGTTCATGTACTCGATAATTACTTTGTGTTCTGAAAGATTTTCCACACTGTTTGCACAGGAAAGGTTTCTCCCCAGTGTGAGTTCGTTCATGATCTTTCCAGTTACTGTGAATGCTCAAAGTTTTCCCACACTGCATACATACATAGCACGCGTCCCTCGTGTGACGCCTTTCGTGTATTTTACAATAAGCCCGGGTGCTAAAAGCTTTTCCACAGTGCTGACATACATAAGCTCTCACTGCAGTGTGAATTTTTTCATGTTTTCGGCACTGACCATTTGTTATAAAGGCATTCCCACACTGCTCACATACGTAGGGTTTGTGACCAGAGTGGCTCTTTTCATGTAGTTTAAAATAAGCACAGGTGCTGAAAGCTTTTTCACATAGCTTACATACGTAGGGTTTCTTCTGTATGTGAGTTCGTTCATGTTCTTTGCATTTTCTCTGTGTACTAAAAGCTCTTCCACAACGCTCACAAACATAGGGATTCTCCATAATATGAGTTCTTTCAGGATTACTCAGTGAAGTGTGACTGAAGGGTTTTCCTCGATGTTTACCTTCATGTGTGTTTTCTCTAGAGTTACATTTTTCATGAGTCTGGACATCATCATGAGGATTACAACATTTTCCAGTTCGAATATTATTGCATTTAATGCATGATTTGGCATCAGGTTTCTCCTCGATGGTACTTTCTTCACTAAAATGAGCATAGGATTTTGCACATGGCACATATTCATGGGGCTTCCTTCCAGGACTTGTCTTCACATGTTTCTGAAAGGACTGGAGTTTGCTGCAGGCTTTCCCATGTTTGTTACAGGAAGACAACTTCTCTTGAAATCCCTTCTTCCCGTGTGGTTTGGCTGTAGTGTGAGCCATTATGGGACAGTCTGGCGAAGAACGATCATCTAGCATCCTTCTCAAGTAAATACGTTCACTGGGTTTTACACCAACAACTTTCATGCGCATGTTTGGTTCTGGAGTCTGAGAAACTCCTTCTTCATGCTGATAGCATAATTTATATTGAGAGGATTTCTCTACCTTTTCACATCTGAAAAAGTAGTAAGAATAAAAAAAAAATCACATTTGTTATACTAGTGACTCACCATGAGGAGATCTGCTTTGATGCCCCCTAAGAATATTTAAATAAGTACCCACAGTACACCTGGCATAATTGCTTGGACAGAGCTTTCACCAACACAGAAGGATTCATTTTCAGTTTGTAATCTACCCATTTGTGATACACAACACTTACATATCTTGATGAGACGTATTCCATATATTCAAGTGTTTTAATACCTTTTCCTCTATGGCTCCATTCCTCCCCTTACACCGACCTTCTTTACCCACTCCAAACTTTCCACCTCTGTATTCTACCATTTCTTCTTTCTTTTACACCTTAATGCATGTTTTTGTAATTCTCATGAAAATGACAATCGATGAGAGCGAAATTTCTGAGTTCTTCAACCATTATCAAGAGATTATGGGCTGTAGACCCATTCATCCATCAGCAAATGCCATCACTTCATTGCTTTCTGAAGGACACTATGTGATTTTGCATACAAAGTGCATGTTTCTCAGTGCTGGAAATTCAACCCGGCCATTTAGCACTGAGCCCAATCTAATGATTTTCACTTTTATTTTGAAACAGGGTCTCATCATTCAATTGTAGTTGCCCAGACTAAGGAGGAATGCAGGACCTTTGCGCCTCAGCTTTTTCCAGAGCTAGGGTTCCAAGCATGTCCTTTTCATACCCAGGACATCCCACACTTCCTTAATCAACCCATCTGTGAGTGGCCATGTAGGCTTTTGCCAGAACTTAGCTATTCTAAGCTGTGCTGCTAAAATGGGTGTTTGTGCATCAGTGTCAAACACTACCTAACTTTGTGGAGTTATATAGTCCCAACAATAATATGGGGCTGCACCTTCCAATAGTTTGGAACAGGAAGGAACTGTGTACTTTGGAGAACTTGAAAGTAACTTTCGTCCAGCAATTGGCATTCACCTGGATTTTTTTTTTTTTTTTTTTTTTTTTTTGTATTTTAGGGAAGGGTCTGCAGGGTGTTCAGGGTCTCACTACTAGATCAGACTCGTAGTGATCCTGTTTACAGCGTCCCAAAAGCTAGGACTGCAGGCACGACTGAACTTTGAAAGACACAGTGTGTTCCATAATTTAGAACTCAGCTCTCAGTTTACACATGAATTTTGTTTGCTGTACTCTTATCCTCAATTTCTGAATGCATTCTCCTTCAACATACCTACAATCTTGAACATGGAACATAACTCAAATGTGTGTTGTTTTTATGACAGGATCTTAGTAATATCTGCTGGCTTTGAACTCACTGTGTGGCCCAGGCGGAACTGGAACTTGCAGCAGTTTTCCTGCCACAGCCTCCTGAGTAGGGGGATTCCTGATGGGCACCACCAGGCTGGATGTTTCAACATACAGGAGATAAAAACAGCACTTTCGGCATAAGAGCTATATTTCAGATGTTTGGAAATTTCTAAGAATCAAATGTCAGAATAGACATGTAGGGGCCGGGGAGATGGCTCAGTGGAATAAGCGCTTCCCTAGCAGGTGCAAGGGTCTGAGTTCAATCCCTGGTTCCGGAAAAAAAAAAAAAAAAGAATAGACATGTTGAACTGTCCAATGCCTTGGAGAAATTTTGTGAAGATTGAAAATAATGTGAACATGGTTTTAGTTTGCTTGGGCTTGATATTCTGAAATTTGCTGAATATAATTCTCATGAATGCAGATTACCTTAGATTGTTCCTGCAAGTGCTATTCTTCTCTTCACTGGGCTGTTGATGTGAGTTCCTTCCTGAAGCACAGAAACAAATATAATGATGACTTGCTACGTACACGAGGCTCAGTACGCTGCTAGTGGATGCGTGATCACACTGTAGCTGTGCATCGTATTTTCATCTTGCCATTAAGGAGAGTCCGCTGGTGAGCACAGTCCAATATTCTGTGAGTGCACAAATGAGAAAATGGTATCTTCCTTACCTACAGCAGCCACATTCCTCAAGTTTTCCCACATCACATCTCTGTAGAGCTGCTTTTGGGATGGATCCAGCAGAGCCCACTCCTCTTTGGAGAAGTTCACGGCCACATCCTTGAAGGTCACCGCCTCCTACATCGTGATACACATATTTCCAGGAAGGAGGGTGAGAGTCTCAATAAAATGCATCGCAATTCTACTCATAAAACCTCCCATGAAGCTATTTTCCAAAGGTTTATACTTCATGTCTTGACCATCAAAAACTTATCCTCCATCTATATGCACTTGTCGTACAGGAGGCTCGATGGTACACTGCAATTCCTTGCTAAAGCAAAAGCAGAACTGAGCACGATTTCTGCTCTGTACAGGGACCCCATGAAAGAAAATGTGTCAGGGAGCATCTTGGAAGGGTTTAGACTACACAAAGCAACACAGAGGGGCCGGGGAGATCACTCAGTAGAACAAGTGCTTGCCTGGCAAGCGTAGGGCCTGAGTTCAATCCCCGGTTCCTCAAAAAAAAAAAAAAAAAGCAACACACAGTCCTACTACTGTCACTATAATTGCTGTAACTCATCACACACATATCCCAGGAGAAGGACTCAAGGCAACCACTGCCACAGTGGTAAAATTTGCATGGTAACTTAGAGTCAGGCAATAGACAGTGGGCATAGCCACAGCACTGAGCAGAAGAGAAGCACAGCCAAGGGTCAGCACAAGAAGATCTGCTAAGCCCAGGCAGGACACACACAAGGGAGACAGGAATGAATGCACAGCAGGCTGACCGTCATCCATGAGGACACTGGACACAACTTTATAGAGATGGAAAAGCAGACAAGGAGAGGTGCCTGGAGGTGTGCAGGCTGCACTCGCTCCAGACAGCATGCTGTGCAGCATGGCGGGGTGAGCAGGTTCAGCAGCCAGGGCAGTGGGAAGGGAGCTGCCGCGAGACAGCCAGGAAGCCAGGCTGGGAACCTGGGACAAGGTTCAGCGCTTCACAACAGGCACAGCTGTCACGTCTGCTAAGATCCAAGACAGCATGACGACACAGGGGTGACACCGAAATTGAGACACAGACCAAATTATAAAAACTATGTTATTATACAACTTGTTGGGTAGTACATTGTCATTTTTTTCATCTACTCAGTTAAAATCGTGAAATTCACTGTAGAGAAAGATAAATAGGATCTATTCCATTTCTTTTTTTTTTTTTTTAAATTCCATTTCTTTGTTTTTTTTTTTTTTTTTTGTGGTGGTACTGGACAATAAAATCGGGGTCTGATCAGGCAGATGCTTAAGCAAATGTGCTGTACCCCAGGCCATAGGAGTATATTAAATTCCTAAGTTATTCAGCCAGTCCTGAACAAATAACTGTGTTTTGCTAACACTGACTACAGGAAAGGGCAAGCATTTGCAGCACTGCAAGCAGGCCTGGGGGATCAGGGTGCATTACTCCTCAGAGTGAGCATGTTCTAGTAAAAGCATACTTGATTTTGGTATTCCATAAAGTGGACTCGGTGAAAGCACTTCCTGTTGCATTAATTACTTCAGTGTTCTTTCATCTGCATATCACCACAAAATCCAGACACCTTATTTATTACCTACTGAAGCCAAAATGAGATGCAAACGATGTTCTACACTTGGAAATTCCACTTCTCAAAAGAGTAAAGCAAGGGGACCACAATTTAAAGTTCACAGTGGGGCCAATGAGGAGGAGACTTTATTGGTATGAACATAGGATATAATTGCAAGTAACATGAAATTGCCCTCAAATTCAAGTACTATACAGCACACAGTCCAAGCACCATCAATACACATATATAAATGGTTGCAGCAGCAAATGCACCATCCCTCAGAAATGCAAGCATTTATAATGAACTTAAAAATATTCATACAAGTGGTATTAGATGTACTTCGTTTATAGAACAAGACATGTTTCTCCACAAAAAAATCCTTTACCAAAAATTCTGTTCCAACCTATCCCAGTACAGACTCTCAAGACAAGAAGAGCTTGGAGGGTCAGGGAAATGGCTCAGTAGAATAAGTGCTTGCCTGGCAAGCACAAAGGCCTGAGTTCAATCCCCAGTTACACACATACACACTCACAAAAAGCTTGGAGTGAAGTATTTCAGTGTCTAAAGTAAAAGAAACTTTAACCTAGATTCGTGTACTTGGCAAAATTATCTTTCAAAAGTGATGTAGAAGGGCCAGGGAGATAGCTCAGTAGAATAAGCAGTTGCCTGGCAAGAGCAAGGGACTGAGTTCAATCCCCGGTTCCAGAAGAAGAAAAAAAAAAAAGCTTGATGTAGAGAGCCTGGGAGATAGCTCAGTGGCTTGACAGCCTGTCTGGTAAGTGCACAGTCTTCAGTTCAATCCCTGGTACCAAGGAGAAAAATAGTATTGATGGAGAAATAAGGTGCTTCCATGAAAAAAGAACACCTGAGGAAACTGAGGACTGCCAAACCAGTAGTTGAAATGTTTTGAAAGAAA